ACACACATTCTTTGCCAAGTCTGCTTTTTCCCTTTTCTTCCAAAAAGAAGAATTTGTGCACAGTAAAACTTGTTCCCCATCTTGTTTCATTTTGATATTAATTAATGCTTTGTATTAATGGGCATTTTCATGTGGCTACAATAATGACTTTAAGGTACTCAAAAAGTTTTCTAAGATAAATTACCCTTAGTTGCTTATGCTATGTGCATTTCATTATATTTTAATTGATATAAATTACAAAGAATACATAGCATAACTTTTTAAAAATCTGAGATACTGAATTAATCATAACACTAAATTCCTGACGAATGCCAGGGACCAGAGTTTACTGTAATAGCAAAAGCATTTTTAATTGTGAAACTACAAATCAGCATCTACAACACTTAATGTCTATCTGCTTATGTTGCTATGCCAGCTAATGGAGACTGAAAAAGATAGGAGCGTAGCTTACTTGACCTTATCAAAGACACACAGACAGGGAAACTTAAATTTGATATTTAAACGTCATCAGTCAGCAATACTGTAATTTCAGGAAAGCATTAGCAGTAACCATTCAAGCACTTCCCACAGCACACGGGGCTTCAATTACCAGACATCAAGCATCCCAGTCCTTCTGTGGGAGACACTATCTAATACCAGCAATTGACTACAGCAGGCTAAGATAGCTTGATGTCATTAAGCATCCGATTCCTTTAATTTCCAGATTTCTGAGTCCCTCCCCACCAAGACAACATGATTTTGTCTTGTTTCCCCTGTCTTGTTTCCCCAGGTTTACCAATAAGGATAGAACATTCTGGCTAAGCAAATGCCAGTGCCTTGGATCCTATAATAGTTTTCTTTTTCATCATAAGTGACTAAAGAACTTTGTGATTATGATTTTGCTTCCCAGGTACCTTGACTACAGGAAGAAAACATACTGAAGACAGCAAGACAAGTGTTCTGGTCTGGGGGACAGAAATTTTTTGTGTGATGCCATATTAGGCGTCCAGGCTTCAGCTGTCATTCTCAAACCAAGTTTAACGTGAGTCCAGCCCTGAAGCATGGATCCAATTCTTACCAATATGATCTGTCAGAGACTCTGAGCCTGAAAGGCTGAGACACACACCAAGGACTACAACATTCTCAAAGGTAATAAACATCATGCAGTAAGAGATCCAGGTAAATGCCTGCCAGCCTTCCCCAGCTGGGAACGACCTTCTGACTCCTGCGTAAACCAAGCAAACTGTACTTTCATCTTATAAATTTCTATACTAAAGGCCCATTATATTCTCTTGCAAGATGGATGGTGTGAAATAATAATAAATATACGTATACTGGTCTCTACACCCTGTTCCTGATGCTGAGCTCCTAAAAGTCTTGTATTTGGGGGTGCTCAGAGAGTCTTTTGTTCTAGTATTTCTAGTTTCTTTTTTTATTTTTTTTTATTTTTGCGGTACGCGGGCCTCTCACTGCTGTGACCTCTCCCTTCGCGGAGCACAGGCTCCGGACGCGCAGGCTCAGCGGCCATGGCTCATGGGCCCAGCCGCTCCACGGCATGTGGGATCCTCCCAGACCGGGGCACGAACCTGTGTCCCCTGCATTGGCAGGCGGACTCTCAACCACTGCGCCACCAGGGAAGCCCTCTAGTTTCTGATACAGAGCTCCTAGGGGCTCTGTCATTTCCTGAGTGATCGGAATGTCTGACACCAAGCTCCTAAGTCCCCTGGAATTTGGGGGCTGATAAGAACATCTTCTGTTTTAATGAGGTGGCTTTTGGTGGGCTTCTAGATGGGGGCTGGTCACAAGAGAGGTTAGAAGCTTGGAATTTTCAGATCTACCCACCATTCTCTGGAGAGGGGAGGGGGCAAGAAATGGAGCTAACAATCCCTCATGGCTACAGGATGAAGCCTTCATAAAAATCCCCCCAGCACAGGGTATGGACTCTAGCAAATTCTCATGTCCAAGGTAGGGGTTACGAGAAAGCTGATTTCTAGCCGGTCAGTCATGGCACAGGGATATTGGCTTGGTGCTTTGTGACAGCCTGGAGGGGTGGGATGGGGAGGGTGGGAGGGAGGGAGACGCAACAGGGAAGACATATGGGAACATATGTTTATGTATGACTGATTCACTTTGTTATAAAGCAGAAACTAACACACCATTGTAAAGCAATTATACCCCAATAAAGATGTTAAAAAAAAAAAAAAAAAAGTCCCAGGGATAACCTGGGACTTGGAACTGGTGTCTTTCATGGGGGGTGCAGTTTTGTAGGACGAGTCCTTAACTTGTGGGATCAGAGGCTAACTCCAGATAAACAGAATCAGACCTGAATCCAACTGCAGGACACACAGCTGGCATCACAGAATTGGTTGGTGTGGGGAAAACCCACACATTTGGTGACCAGAAGTGCAGTACTATGTGTGTACAGAAGACACACAGGAGTGACTTTCCTAGACAGAGGGTCTCCAGTTCCTTTTAGCAATTTTAAGTTAACTCCCTCAGCTGAAAGGGTTATTTGGACGCTTTCAAAAAAATTTTTTTTTAATTTCTCAATGCATTCACCATTGACCAGTAGGTATTTCTTTTAAGAATGAAAAACAAAAGATGTTTGCCTTCTGTGGTGACAACAAAGAAAGAAAATTCACATTTGTATCACACACTCCAGAAATTAACTCACAGGTTCTCAACGGAACTCTACAGGAAAGAAACTGATGAGAAGAAATGAAGGGACCCATGAGAAACCTTCAGAACCCTCAGCAGGGAGGGGAGAAAAGACCATCTCAACACCACAGAACAGACTGAAACTACTGCACATGACTGAAAAGAATCAAAATTTAGTTTCCATACTGGTGTGAGAGGCAGTAACAGAGATGGGTGATGCTTGATCATTTTAGAAGTCAGCTCAGCTAAGACTCTGCAGCAAAACAAGGGAATCTCTGCCATCGTTAATGGAAAATGATAGTTTAACTGCAATTCCAAGTTTCCAACATTATTCAAGAGGAGACTAATCCTGGCCACCTGATTTCTGTGACCGTTTTAGTCAACACTGGAAAGGACACATGCAAAGATCGGAGGACCTGCTTCTATACTCTCTGCTGAGAGTGCTCACAAGAGAACTGAATAAAAAATGAAAGTCTGCACTGGAAATGTTGGCCATGAAAATACACCCATTTAATATACGTACTTTTCCCCATTAAATAAGGTAACTATGGGTCCCATGCCAACCGTAACTCCACTTGGGTGCAAATACCTGCCAATAATACAGTAGCTACAGTGTTTCTCTGGAACAGGCTTGTTATTCAAATCATTGTGAAGACTCTATGTCAGATCCCAACATAGTCAGGAAGCAGAACACAAGGTACTCGTCTAGGAGGTGATGCTACCCTTCATACTGGCACAATGTCTTCTCCCACAGTGTTGAAAGATAGCCTCAACAACTCTTGAAACTCACCTCCTACCACCACGGACTTAGTAAACACTTCTAAGTTCCTACCTCTTCATCTGGTAAAATACATCGATGTTAGAATTTCAAACACACTGGATTCGGTTACAAGGCGTGATAATGATACTAACCTGTGGTAACTGAAAACTTTATTCCATAATCCCTTTATCTTTCTCCAATTCTCAAAGGATTCTAGATTAAAATTGGCACTCTTCTGCTTTTTCCAGTCTCTGAGGCAAACATGAAACAACTGTCCTCCAATGAGAGTTTAATTTCTCTTCCCCCAGTTTGCCAAAAATGCCACGGGGAAGAATCAAAACAACTAAGCATTTGCTTGAGTTTTTGCCAAGAAATCTTTCCCTCACTTCCTTGATCATACAAACTCCCTTTAAAAAGAAAAAAGAAATCCTCTTCCAGGTGAAAACAAAAGTGAACAGAACCATATTTTTGCCTTTTCCAAATGCCTGTTTTATATGTAGAGTCGAACTGGGCCTAACTATTCCTTCTTTCTGCAACCTCCTAGGAACCTTCGTGCTGGCTGGAGCAGGGACCTCACAAGAAGATACATTTAAAGCAATGTTCAGGCAGGAGTAACATAGGACCCAAGGGATTGCGCTAAAGTTTTCAACAGATTAAACGATGGAATACATCCAAGGGAAGAAAATAAAAGGAAATGGAGATACAGTTACAACTACTGTCAGTGCACCTGTGAAAACCAATACTGCAGGTTTTAGCCAGTGGAACTGGGGTTTTGAATTTTAAATAAAGATCTCCAAAATCTGGCAAGTCACTTAGCATGTCTCCACCTTCCTTTCCTTAACTATTAAATACCTAACCCCAGAATATTTTGGAAGACTGGGATGATTTAACACCAAGTGTCGAATAGAAAAACTGAATGTGTACAACAGACAGTGTAAGAGAGTGTATCAGAGAGAGAAAGCAAGAAAGCTCGAAATGAGTATGACTCACAAAAAATTTAATCACAAATTAAAATGCTACCAACTCTAAGCCTTTTTCATTTAACATTTTATCACATAGAATTCACTCTCTACCAAATATTGTGTGGGCTTCCGGTATGAGCTCACAATATTCCTTCTGCCTGCAATTTCCATCTCAATATCTTTCTACGTGAAGTCATTTCCAACATGCGAATCTCTCCGAATCTGCTAATCTCCCCAACCGTCTGTAAGTTAAATACTCCTGTGTTCCCATCGTACTGTGCTCACGTCATTATTATATACATTATGGTCCAGGGAGAGGTGTGTGCGCCCCAATACTTGCTAAAGAATTGGCTCCTGGGGGCAGAAATCCTTTCATGGCTCTATATATTCATTATATACCAGTGACTAGTGCACAGTAGGACATAAATACATGTCTGTGAGTGAATGAATGAATGAATGAATGAATATATTAATTGTCCCTTTTTTCATCTTCTAAAAAGGGGGGGCAAACACCTCCTCAAGTGATTTCCATTTTTAACACAGATTACAATAACATAAAGATAAATTTTTCATGTGGAAATTTCAGTTTGTACACACTGTCAATCACAAAACTGTTTCTATCACCTCAATGCAATACGTACTGGCTGGAACGATGAAGTCTCCGTGTAATTCATAGGTCATCAGCGGCTCTGGAAGACTCCTGTATTAAAAGGACAGCTTAGAATTACCAAACAAATACAAATAGGTCACCTCTTTTTGCATTCATTTTTTATAAAAGGATATTAAATATGTCATGCATTTCTTAATGTACAAAACTTCCCTAGGAAATACTTTTACATATCAAAGAAGATACATCACTCAAATGGATTCCTTTATTAAGTGTTATCTGCACCACGCACTGTCCAAGCTTAAGTAGTCACAAATCTCTATCAGATCTAAGCACACAGTATTTCATATTTAATCTTGGAAAGTACCTTTATAAACATCTGATTTCATGTATAAAACTCCCTTCCACATACTAACTTATTTAAAGTCAAATATTCTATCCAACCAAATATAAACATATAATTTTGAAAATCACCTCTAGGATATTAACTGGATGCCACAAAAAAAAATATGGAAAAGATTAAACAAATTTAAAGAAATCAAGTCCTCTTTTTTTTTTAAGATTTTTTTGATGTGGACCATTTTTAAAGTCTTTATTGAATTTGCTATAATACTGTTTCTATGTTTTGTTTTGTTTTTGTTTTTGTTTTGGCCATGAGGCATGTGGGATCTTAGCTCCCTGACCAGGTATCGAACCCACACCCCCTGCACTGGAAGGTGAATTCTTAACCACTGGACCACCAGGGAAATCCCTCCAGTCCTCTTCTCTTACATCTCTATTATAAAAATATGATATCCAATATTGATATATGTCTATGAAATAACAGAGGAATGAAATAAAATTGATGACAACTTAAAAAACACCCATATCATTTTAATTTTCTACAAACAGATTACATAAATGGTAGATTTTTATCCTGTGGTCAACAGAATGTTACAGTTCAATCAACATTTATACATATCTTAAATTTTAAAAGACCAGATCTCCAGACTGTATAAACACCTAAAGAACACTAAGACAAGTTATCAATCTGTACAGCCCTTCTGGAGGGCAATCTGGCAAGATAAAAGATAAAAACTTTTAAAAGGTTTAAATCACGTAGGCCAGAAACTCCTCTTCAAATGCTTAAAAAAAAAGACATCAAAGATACACACACAAAAAAATTTTAAACATATGCAAAAGCCCCAAAAAAATGCCAGGGATAAAGAAGGTCATTTCATATTGATAAAGAGGTCAATTCATCAAGAAGACATAATAATCCTAAATGGCTGTTTGTTTTTTTTAACAATCCTAAATGTTAGTGGGTCTAATAACAGGATCTTCAAAATCCAGGAGGCAAAAATGGATGCAACTGCAAGGAGAAATAGACAAACCCACAAATATGGCCAGGGACTTAAATACCTCTGTGTCTCAATAACGGATAGAACGAGTAGACAAAATCAGTTAGGATAGAGAAGATTTGACCAAAGCTATCAACCAACTTCACCTGACGGGTACGTCCATCACCTAAATGAAACGCCATCCAAAAGCAACAGAAGACACATTCTTTCCCAGTGCATATGAAGCATTTATCAAGATAAAGAGATCCTGGACCATGAAACACATCTCCATAAATTTAAAAGGGTTCAATTTATACAGGGTATTTCTCTGATTACAGTAAAAATTAAATTAGAAATCAATAACAGAGATATCTAGAAAACCTCAAAGAAAGGAATATCAGGAAGTATTCTGAATTGAAACAAAAATGAAAATACAACATATCAGAATTTAAGGGATGTTGGTAAAGCAGTATTTGGTGGTAAATTTATACCACTAAGTACCTATGTTAGAAAAAAGAACGGTCTTAAACTTCCTAACTTAAACAGCCAAAAAGAAAGTAAATTAAACCCAAAATAAGCAGAAAAACAGAAACCAAGATCAGAGCAGAAATCAATTAAACAGAAAACAAACAAACAGAAACAGAGAAAATAAATAAATCCAAAAACTGGTTCTTCGAAATAATCAATAAAGTTGGTAAGTCTAGCCATAATAATTAGGAAATAAAAGAAAACACAAATCACCAATCAGAAGTAATAGAGGCGACTGAAGAATCACTCCAGGTTCTAAAGTATTACAAAGAAAATAAAATATTACGAAAATATTCATGCCCACAAATTCAACAGTTTAGATGAAATGGACAAATGTCTCAAAAGACACAAACTACTAAGTCTCACTCCAAAAGAAATAGGTAACCTGAGAAACAGGTAACCCATATCAATTAGAGAAAATGAATTTGTAGTTAAAAATCCTGCCAATAAGAAAGCTCTAGGCCCAAATGACTCACTGATAAATTCTATCAAACAGTTAAAAAAGAAATAATACCAATTCTATGCAAATCCTTCCAGAAAATAGAAGAGGGAATATTTTCTAACTCATTCTTTGATGTCAGCATTTACCTTAGTACCAAAATTAAATACATTATAAGAAAACTACAGACCGGTATAACTCATGAATGTAGATGCAACTATTCTAAATAAAACGTTAGCAACTGGAATTCAACAAGATAAATAAAAGGATAATACATCATGACCAAGCTGGGTTTATCACAGAAATGTAACTGCCTTAATATTAAATTAAAATCAATGCAACTCACCATACTAGCAAACAATAGACAATTCAGTGGAGAAAGGATAGTTTTTCCCACAAATGGTACTGAAACAACTGGACATCCATATTCAAAAGTGAACTTGGATCCATATTCTATATCTTACACAACGACTAACTTAAAATAGATCATAGATCTAAGTGTAAAACCTAAAACTATAAAACTTCTAGAAGAAAACATAAAATCTTTGTGACTTTGGATTAGGCAAAAGCACAATCCATAAAGTACAGTCCATAAAAACTAGTAAATTCAACTTCATCAAAATTTTTAAAGGCTCTTTGCAAGGCACTTTTAAGGGAATGAAAATACAAGCCAGGAAGTCATGAAGAAAACATCTGCAAAGCACATTATCTAAAGACTTGTATCCGAAATATCAAGATTTGGCAAGGATGTAAAGGAAATGGAACTCTTGTACATCGTAAGTGGAAATGTAATGAAAAACAACCACTTTGGAAAAAAGTTTGTCCGTTTCCCCAAAAGTTAAACATACACCTATCGTACAATCCAGGTGTTATACTCCTAGGATTTACCCAGGAGGAATGAAAGCCTACGTTCACTCAAAGATTTGTACACAAAAGTTTTTAGTAGCTTTATTTATAACAGCCAAAAGCTATAAACAACCCAAATATTTATTAACAGGTAAATGGATAAAACAGAAATTTGTGGCGTATCCATAAAATGGAACACTAGTTAGCATTGAGAAGGAATGAACTATTGGTCCTTGCTACAACACAGGTGAATCTGTAATTATGCTGAGTGAAAGAACCCAGATTTTAAAAAGTACATGCTATGTTATTCCATTTATATGAAATTATAGGAAGTGCAAATTAATGTATAATGACAGAAAGCAGACCAGTGGTTTGCCCAGGGATCAGGGAATGAGAAGAGAAAAGTGAGAGACAGGGAGTTCAAAGGGGCTTGAGGAAACTCTGGGGGTGATGGGAGGGTTCAGCCACTTGACTTTGGTGATGGCTTCACAGATGTACACACACATCAAACTTATCAAAATGTGTACTATAAATATATGCAGTTTATTGTACGTCAGTTACACGTCAATAAAACTTCAACAAAATGGAAAAACAAATTTACAGATTATGTTCCCTACATACAATTTTTTATTGAATAAATTTCACTTGGAACACTGGGTAAGTTTAAGGTGTACAGCCTATTATTTTGATACATTTATATATCGTGATATCACCGATGTGTCAATATTTATCACATTACATAATTATAGTGTACTATTATTGTCTACATTCATTATACTGTACCTTAGATCTCTAGGGTCTATTTACTACTCATTACAAGTTTGTACCCTTATACACCATCAATCTTATCCCTCCACCATCCCCTAGTAGCCACCATTTTATCTTACATACAGCCTTTGATGCTGCAGGACACACACGGACACACACATGTGCGCGCATGCGCATGAAATGACAGCTGTAGAGGCCGATACTAAAACTTAAAAGCCCTAGTGAAGAAAAAACTGTTCTTTTATTTCCTCTCTCCCTCCCCTTCATCCCCTACACTCTCATTTAGGAAAGAAAAATAAAATGAATTACACCACAGACTAAATAAAGAAAAAGAAGAGGCAATCAGAAGGAAACCTTTGGTTTTGTTTCAAAACTCGAACAAGCAGGAAGTAGCGATGAAGGAAAATGCTAATCTGTCAGAGAATGAAAGTTAAAGGGTTTCGAAAAGAAAGGGGGAAAAATGAGAACACTCAGAAACCCCACAGAGGGCATTTCTTTTCCAATAAAAATGAATTTGTATCTAGGTATCTTCTACATGCTGCTTATATCACTGCTGTATGTCTAGCCAGGCAAGGCAGCATAAAAAAATAAGTATTAAGTATTGTTAATGTTGGGGAAGCAGTAATAAAAAGGACAAGTTCCCCATACAAAATTCATTATATTGAGTCATCATACCTGTCGGCTTCTCACCCAACATGAACTACCTCTCAACGGGCTCTGTCTAGGGGTATAAAGCATAATATTTACTAGAGTGGCATTTTCTTCCCCAAAAGTCCCATTCTCATTTCCAGGCTTAGAAGTTTCTTCCAGGTAAAATCATTTTACTACAAACCTCACAAAATAGCTCATCTCTCCCCTGACAATGGGAAAATGCTGAAATGAACACATGACCGGAAATCAAAATTATGGTCAGAACAGATGGGAAATCAACCAGAGGGCTGGAATCCAACCCTCGTTTTAGCTTTAAAAAAAAAAAAAAAACAAACAACTTCGCCTCAAGTCAGAAGAAGATGACGGGAGATGCCATACATGTGTCTATCGCACATCTTTTTCTACCTCCCAGACCCTGGAGGCTTTGCTCATTTTAGTTTAGTGTTTGTTGGGGACGGAGGGGGGATGGGGATGTTTGGCTATTTCCCTTCATCTATTTCCAACCTCCGATCCAATATTTGCAGCGAAAAGAATTCAAGGGC